GTTCCACTAGTCTCTGTGCATGTGCCAACGTCTCAGCGGCCTGTTCGTTTCATATACTAGATTACACCCCGCGCGTTGCTGCGGGATCTCTTGGTAGTCATTAAAAACAGCATTGCAACTAAATAGAAGCACAAATCAGCACTAAAATTTCCAAGGTCTACAATTTAATAGCAAAGAGAATAGGTTCTTCACTGGTAATAGACAGAGTCTTAATGGATGCACGGCCAGAGTATAGATATCAATTTTCGATCTTATTGTATTAACAATTCTTGAGTGTCAACATGATTTGATATATCTAAATTGCACTACAATAATGTACCAGAGGATTGACGTATGGAACGGTGCCTCGATAGTCGATACTGATGAAGACTTATTCCTTTTCCCTCTGAATTATGGGAGTTGACTTTCAACTGAAATGGGTTAAGAAGAACTTGTCTTCTTTCGAAACTTCTCACAGTACAAATTCAAGCAAACAATGGACTTGATCTGAATCAATCAGCAAAGCATGGGCCGATGAATGGCTATATAAAGTTGAGTCACTTATTTTGGGAAAGAGGGAGTAGTAGACTGGGATTAAATATGGTGACAAACATAGCATCTATGGAGATCAAAAGATTATTCAGGTGAGTGACGGTACAATTCTGAAGATATTTGGCAAAAGCTAAAAGGGAAGCACATCTTTGAATGCTAGCCTATGACCACTGTTGTCGATTAAGTAGAATTGTTCTTTTTTCAAGGGAAAACTACGACACTTTTGAAATAGAAATTACTCGATGATACACTGGTTGGAAACATAACTAAGACAAACACATGTTAAATGTTGTACTTCCCACAAAATGATGAAGAAACCTCTCCGATTGGAAAATACCAGTTCTTGTCGAATCTCTCACTTGGTATATCGTAAAGCACAACCTGCAAAGGCATATCTAAGATCACTTAGGGATGCTCAATACTGTTATTACCAAATATTTCATGGGCATACAGCTACACGGGTCATGATACAATGATATACATACTGTAAATATAAGAAAGACATCAATCCAGATAGCTCAATTGAACTTATCTATATTTTTTAATGTGGAGAACATACCTCAGACTTTCATCAACACTATCTGCAGTTGATACTTGTGTACAAACAATTACATGTGCCATAAACATTCAAATGATTGAACAATTACAAAAATAATATTTTGCCCAAGCCACATCCCACGTACAACCAGCCATTAGATAGGGAATATGAGGAGAACAAACATGTTAATTTAATTTGGCTAGATCTGTAACAATGCCTTGCCTGCAAACAACACGGAGAGAAGTACATGTCCACCAAAGTCAAGTTATCCTGGCTGGATCTGTAACATTGGCTTGCCTGCAAACAACATGGAGAGAAGTACAATTCCACCAAAGTGTTGTCATCCAAATAGCAGATCAAGATGAGCGATGGTACTGGCTCATGTATCACAAAAACCATTATCATTCACTGTGCAGGCTTGGGAAGATTAAAATTCGAAATTGTACTCAATTAAGTTTGGATGGGAAAGACTGACCTCTTCCTCCTCATAAATATAAACAACTTCAAAGCAAACAACTGAATCTGGTACATGAGAATCTAACACTAATCTCTTTTTTGTTGACATGCACATGACAAAGGAAAATGGAAACTGCATACTTTTGGGGATTTGAGGATGGGATAACCATAGCCAACTTAGGACTTTGGGGTCAATCTCCTCATGTACAGTGTGCTGCTTGCTGAAGGGAGGGGATGAGACGTACTGAAACATCCACACGGCGCAGCCCAATAGACGTACTGATGCATTGACAGTATATGGAATCCTAAATACTCGGTCGCCGCATCTGTATTCGAGAAGGAAGCCCACCTGAAATAGGTGCTGCGGGAGATGAGGAGACGGTGAAGACGGTAGGTGACGCCCATGGCCTTGACAACGACATTGGAGAAGCCGCCGGAGCCGAATCCCTTTGCCTGGACGTTGTCGCAGAGCGCCGAGAGGTTGCAGTCCATGGAGCGGAGCTCCGCCGCCGCGAACACCAGCTCGTACGGCCGCGCCGCCTCTGCCGGCCCGGGCAGGCCGCCGCCCCCTCCGCCATCACGGGCGGCAGCGGGTGCGACTGCTGCGTTTTTTGTTTTGACATTACGGCCGGGAGGTGGAAACGAAGGGTATGCCGTGGGCGTGGGGACAGACAGTTGGGCTTCTTTCTTATGTTTGCGTTTGGAGACCATTGGGCTTCGGTATGCACTTTAAGTCTGGAAAACGGAGCAACGAAGCGGCATATAAAAATGTCAATAAAAATTGGTTAAAATGGAAAATAATCACTGATGTGGCAGTTTGCTGAGGTGGATAGGCTGCATGTCTAGAGAAATAGCATAGTGAGGATGAACTATTTAGGTATTATAGATTATTATAAGCCAGCAGGAGCAACACTAACACTCTGGGGAGATATCTAATTAAAAAATTCATGTGAAACAAACCTTCTCCATGATGCTAAGCTACAACCCGAACTGGGTTGAAACTCGACGCTACAGAAATTTCTCTAGGGGAAACCGGTAAAACGCGTGCGAACGGGGATGAAAAATTCTTGTCTCGTTCCTCTGCGGCCCGGACATAACGACGGCGATGCGAGGACGCTTATTTCTTTTTGAACACGTTGTTGCAGAAGCCGTCGACATAGTTATAGGTGTTTTTGTTATGTATTGTAATGGTTTTATTGTGGTTACATTTGTTCTCTACCTTGTTTAATAATGAATAAGAATGGACGTGTGTTCGTTTCGAAAAAAAAAATGGTTGTGTGCATCACAATGATGGAGGCCAAGGGTTTAACCTTCTTTTAAAAAATATATTTATCAGACTCATTCGTGGGGACAATCGCCCGCTAATTATGAATCTTGGCTAAGAGGACAAGTAGTTTAGAAATAATTATCCTTTTGAGTTTGTTAAAGGACGAGCAGCTAAGAAAGCAGTTAAACCGGTGAGCAGCCAAGGAATGTCGATTTCATCACATTTTCTGAGGAATATATGTTGTCTTCTGAGTGTATGCTTTATGAGCATCCATGAGCCTTCCCTAGTGCTCCCTTTTTTCTTGTTTGGGGGATTAACATCCACCTAGCCTTCCCCCAAAAGTTTTAGGGGCCTAAACAAGAGCTTTCCTCCTCAAAGTTTCCTCCACTAGGGCAAACTTGTTCCATAAAAGATACTACTCATAAAAAAAGAGGAATCCGCTCGACCCTTCCCATTTTCCGTTTAGCTCCCATCCGACCCGGCGCCACCGACGCCCTCGAATGTCGTGGGAATGGGTCCTCATGGTTCATCCCACCCTGGGAATGGGTCCTCATGGTTCATCCCACCCCTACCATCCACCATGGGCTCTCACGTCACTGGCTCGCTGCTGAAGTTGTCGTTCGCCATGGCGATGCAGGGCCACATCGAGAGTCACGACCGTCGCACGCTGCCTCACGCCGCCGCCACCACTGTGTATCTATATTTTTTATATTTAGTGATATAATTTTTTGTTGTTGTTGTTTAATGACTCATAAGATGAGTAGGTATTAAACCTAGGGATGCTGATACATATATACTTTTTCTTGTCTGGTGCTACAATTATATTATTTTGGCATCAATTTTTATTATTTTTCTAGACCAACCTATTAATTCAGTACCAAGGGCCAGTTTGCCTTTTTTTTGCTGTTTTGTCTTTCTTTTAGGAAAATCAATTTTAAGGAACCCAAAAAATCCAGAAAAAAAATCTACAAAAATGTTTTGAGCCAGGAAGCTTTCAGAGGCACCTGGCTTCTCATGGGCAGCCCTTTGGGCCCCACATGGTCATGCGGTATGGCTAGGGACTTGGACGTGTGGGCTCCATGGGACTTCTTTCCACTGCCTTTATGTTGCTCCGAAATCCTTAAAATAAATATGAAGGAATTTTTTCGCCGGCGCCAAATGAGTCACCCCTGGTCGACTACTTTACCCCGATGGCTTCGGATCACACAACAGAGACACAAGATCAGAAACTCCACCAAAACGAATAAACCTAGCCTGTGGAAGGGCTCCGGAGGGGGGAAAGGATGGAAGGGCTCCGCTACGCCATCAACCTGGTCAAGAAGACTTCAACATCAACCGCTATCATCATCATTGGCTCCCCTCTATCACCCATTATTACCATGATTACCCCTTCTATGCTTGTTGTCTCTATGTCTAAGTAAAACTCGTTGTCCTCGGGGATAATGAGGGACCCTAGTATGTTTAGGTGTTGAACGCCGATAGGATTCGACATCATCTTTTGTCTGTTTATCTTAATAATCTTTCTGATCTTAGATGAAGTCGACCACTCAACAATTGCCCTTAACTATCATTGCAATGGTGGGATGCAGAGGTGAAGAGACGACAATAATATCCTCCCTTCCTTCCCGGAGCAACTGATAGAGGAATAACGGAAAAGCGATCATTGACCATAATCATCGTTAATGTAAGCTGCATGTGGGGAGGAACGATGGTGGCGTGTGTCATACTGAGCAGCACATGCAACACGTATGTTGTACCGGGCTCCGTCCACTTATAGAAGCATACATGTGCAGGACTCATTTTTTTCCTTTTTTGATTTGAAAAGGAAAAAATTTACTCCCTCTTCTCTGGTTTAAAGGCCTGCGTGTATCTCTAAACTGCTAATTTAATCGATCTAATAAAAGCTGTATATCACCAAAATTATACCATTACAAAATAGAACATTTGGAGTTTTTGATAATAGAGCTTTTGTGATATAGAACTATCCTTATGTTGGTTAAATCGTCAACGTGAGGTACATGTGAAACCTTCTAAATTGGAAAGGAGTAATATATAAAAAGACATCCATTGTTACAAGTTTGAATAAGGATGAAACAGAGCAGGCCAATGGCGTAACATCCGCCGCCAATTCCATTCATCCGCAGGACTTTTTATTCCCACACAAAGCCTTCCACGCACGCACGTCGTTCAATCTTTATAAGTAGGCCATCAAGGAAACGTGTTACCTGCGAAATCAAAGAAGCATTATACTCCATTGCCAACAGTTTCAGAACACTATTCATCAGCTCCAAGAAAGAAAAGCTAGTAGCACACATATTACTCGTTGAGAAGTATACGTATACTACTAGCATACGCCTACGCATCGTACGCAGTACTAGGTACGTACCTCCGCAGTCGGCAATGCCACAGCGCTTGGGGATTGCGATTGCGACTTGAGGCTTCAGTCCGGCCAGTTTGAAGACGTCGGACATGACGGAGCACACGCAACCGGGGCTCCTCATGTTGATGTTGCGCACACCCACGCAGCAGCTGCTCGTCGGCGCGGACTGCGGGTTGCGCACCGCCGGGAGGCACGGAGCCAGTTGCTGGGCCATGGCCGAGGCCCTCACGCTGCACTCGCCAGCTCCCTCAGCGCCGCCGATACCGGCGGCGAGCACGACGGCCAGGGCAAGAAGGACGAGCGGCCTCATTGTCATCGATCTCTCCGTGTTGCTCTGATGATCACTGTCTTCACCTGTACTACTGTGCGGATCACTTGTTGGCTGTAGCTAGCTGCTTGCCGTGGGTCTCTCTTTGCACATGTGTGGTGCTTCTTATATAGCTGTACTGCCGTTGTGGCAAGTAGGAGGAAGCACTGCAGGCCCTCTGATTGCATGCTGACAGCGCCAATGGTTTCTCCGTTTTCCCACCATGCAGAACACGGGTCCTAAAAAAGGCAAGGCAAAACACGTTTGCAAGTTATTATTTCGGCGCCCCCCTTATATACCTGTCAAATGATTGATTGAAAGCATCGTCTCCTCATTGATTTTCGCTTTGTTTAGTTTGTTTAGGTAATCAATCATGCTTATCAATGTAATCGGCAATCCCCATTGGGTCTGACCCTTTGATTTTGTTCTTTCATAATCTTTGCCGAACCCACATTCGATTTGATGATCTGCACGCATTGGACACATTGTTATTGGACGCGGCTTGCCTGCTCCATGGGTTTGTTCTCATCCGTGCTCTGCGGGGACATGGCAGGATTTTGATGAACTTTGCAGGGGAGAAACTGCTGAAATGTGCACTCATCTGGAATAAATGTGTATGGGAGTAAAATTGTCTGAAGCAGGACTCTTGCTTCTGGTGTAACAAGGTCTGACAAATTTGCTATTCAGCCTTCTGTATGCGAGTTTGAAAACTAGGCAAGTTAAATGGATGCATAGACCCCTCCTTTACAATTCTAAAGGCGATCGGAGTTTTTTTAGGGTTTCTAAAGGCGATCAGAAGGCGGTCATGGTTCCCGTTCCTCTCGCATGCGTCGGCGCTGGTCCACCTCGCCTCCAGTGGCCCAATTGCGTCGTTGTGGAGAGGATGGTGGCTGCTGGGGTGATGGAAGCGATTCAATGTTCTACCTTCCTTCTTGGTTTTTGATGGCGGAGGGTGGTGGATTTTTTTCAGGAACTCGCAAGAGCTTCGCGTGTTGTTTCATTAAGATTGAGAGAAACATAGTACAAAGTTTATTGGGACAGAGAATAGCGGTCCTAAGGGTGGTGGATATGAGCGTGGCAATGTTTGGATCCCATAAACATCGTTTCTCCACGTTTCCTACGACTGCTTCAACTCTGGGATGTTGATCCATTAGGCCAGAAGTGTTGGTGACTTCTCGTTCATGACAAACTTGGTTTCATCAGCTCAAGTGGGAAGCTGTGGCGGTGGCAGCACACCATCCCTCGTTCTGGTGGTCAAAGATGGTGGAATCCCCAAGGGCTCTCTTGTAATTTTTATTTTCATAGGGTTTATTTATGTAATGCTAAAATTTTAATATATTGTGTCATGGGCTTTTTTCAAAAAAAATTATGAATGCACGAAAATGTTGCCCTACATGATTGTGATCCATTTGATGTAATATTTTGGTGTGTTTGTTGGAATATGGTGAATTGTCACTTTATGATCAGATTTATTCTTGAATCTTTCTTTAGATCTCTTTTTTTTTTGCATAATTCTTATTCATATGTTCTTCGATCTATTCTCCCTTTCTTTGGCTAAGTTTGGGATTTGATCATCAAGGGGAGTTGTGTACGATAGTTGGGTTCAACCTTGCAAGTAAGTTACCGCACTGACAGAAAGTGGAAAGGCTTGTATTATGTTTACCCTAGGGATAAAAGGATGGTTGCGTAGTTGTCCTTTGAACGCAGAGTGAAGACAATATATCATCTATTTCATGTAATTGTACTTTGCCCGGAAGACATTCTTTATGGGATCGCGGCAGGACCACAGGCGGTATTGTGAGCGATCACGCTCTCAATCGACTTGGTTTCTAAGTCGTAAACTTACCGAACATGAAACAATCAACTTGGCGAGGCGATGCGAGCGCGGGCGTGTGGTATTCTCTTTCTCTCCTCAGCACATCACTTACTGAAATGGAGAGAACCCACTGTATAAAGACACCGAACATGATACAATCAACTTGGCGAGGCAACGCAAGCGCGGGTGTGTGGTATTCCCTTTCTCTCCTCAGCACGTCACTTCGTGGAGTGGAGAGAACCCAATATATAAAGACGTCTGATAGCCCCTCAACTTTTGGGTTGGACTAAACTTTAGAACCACAACTTGCTATTTTATTCGTGAGCCTCTTTGAGATTTCAGAAATTGTACATGGGCCTAGCCCATTATTTATAATAGTTACGAGAAAAACAATCGGGAGTGTGCGTCGAGCGTGGAAGCTCCTGGGACCTCCTAATTGGCGGGCGCCAGCTCGCTAAGTTGTCGCTCATGCAGATGCCTTGCGTGGCGGCCCAGCAAGCGAGCTAGTCTTTTTTTTGCGGGGAAATTCAGAGAGCTTTATTTAGTAAACGCGCTCTTGGGACAATCAGCCAGAAGGCTGGACACCAAGCTAGGAGTCTTGTCAAGTCAACTATCGGTCACATTAAGTGTGCAAGCATGCTTTGCACATAAGTGAGCCGGGAGGTTAGCTGACCTGTTTACACGATGAATAGCAAAAGAGGAAAAATGAAGACTAAGCTCTCCAATCTCTAAAAGTAAAAGGAGCCACAGTCGAACGAGAATTGTGGCGAGTGGTCCAGAGTGTCACCAACTCCAAGTAGTCAACTTCCATTATCATGTGCGAGAATCCACGAAGAGATGCGAACCGAACCCCATCTCGCAGAGAAAGTCCTTCCATGATCAAGGGATCAGAGATCCCTACATACAGATTGCACTAGGCACCGAGTAGAGCCGTAGGAGAACGAGCAATACCTCCCGCTCCTCCTCTACCCTCCGCCAGATTAAGAGCGTCATCGGTTGTGATTTTTACAAAACCATCATCAGGGGGCCGCCACCCAAAGCCCGGCAAGACCAACGTGTCTTTGTGCGGCAAGTGAAGGAGTGCAATAGCTTCCTTTGTAGCTCGAATCGTTGCTGTGGGGTCCCTTCCTTCCTCACCATGCTTGATACGATTCTGGGAGTGCCAGATAGACCACATAATGGTGGTGATCTTTGCACGATCATCATCATTAAACTGCGGGTCACATAAGATGTCGCAAGCCCACGAGTCCGGATGTAGACGAGGGAGCCGAATTCCGAACCATGAACACGCCTCCTCGCAGAAGCGTTTAGCATGTGAGCAATGAATCAATGCATGTTTCAGATCCTCGTCCATAGCTAGACATACTTTGCATCTGCGAATTTCAGCAATGTGTGGATAGTTGAGAGTAGCTTCATCTGGAAGAATCCCACGGAGAACTCTCCACCAAAACATTCTCACTTTTGGGTAACATTCAATTTCCACAAGGCTTTCCACATCTTTTGATCATCATTTGAGGTACCGGTAGCCGTCCCTTCTTCTAGAGCCAAACGCTCGTTCTGAGTCACTAGAGCACGGTACGCCGATTTCACAGTGTAGTTGCTGAAGAAAATATGCCCTAGATGCAATAATAATGTTATTATTTTATTTTCTTATATCATGATAAATGTTTATTATTCATGCTAGAATTGTATTATCCGGAAACATAATACTTGTGTGAATACATAGACAAACTAAACGTCACTAGTATGCCTCTACTTGACTAGCTCATTAATCAAAGATGGTTATGTTTCCTAACCATAGACATGTGTTGTCATTTGATTAACGGGATCACATTATTAGGAGAATGATGTGATTGACATGACCCATTCCATTAGCTTAGCACCCGATCGTTTAGTATGTTGCTATTGCTTTCTTTATGACTTATACATGTTCCTATGACTATGAGATTATGAAACCCCCGTTTGTCGGAGGAACACTTTGTGTGCTACCAAACGTCACAACGTAACTGGGTGATTATAAAGGAGCTCTACAGGTGTCTCCAAAGGTAAATGTTGGGTTGGCGTATTTCGAGATTAGGATTTGTCACTCCGATTGTCGGAGAGGTATCTCTGGGCCCTCTCGGTAATGCACATCACATAAGTGTTGGGTTTCGTAGTAATTTCAAAAAATTTCCTACGCACACGCAAGATCATGGTGATGCATAGAAACGAGGGGGAGAGTGTTGTCTACGTACCCACGCAGACCGACTGCGGAAGCATTGACGCAACGTAGAGGAAGTAGTCGTACGTCTTCCCGATCCAACCAATCCAAGCACCGTTACTCCGGCACCTCCGAGTTCTTAGCACACGTACAGCTCGATGACGCTCCCCGGGCTCCGATCCAGTGAAGCTTCGGGGATGAGTTCCGTCAGCACAACAGCGTGGTGACGATGATGATGTTCTACCGACGCAGGGCTTCGCCTAAGCACTACAATGATATGACCGAGGTGGAATATGGTGGCAGGGGGCACCGCACACGGCTAAGGAACGATCACGTGGATCAACTTGTGTGTCCTAGGGTGCCCCCTGCCTCCGTATATAAAGGAGCCAAGGGGAGGGGTGCGGCCGGCCAAGGAGGGCGCGCCAAGGGAGTCCTACTCCCTCTGGGAGTAGGATTCCTCCCCCCCAATCCTAGTTGGAATAGGATTCGCTGGGGGGGAAAAGAGAGAGGGGGGCCGGCCACCTCTCCTTGTCCTAATAGGACTAGGGGAGGGGGGAGGCGCGCGGCCCATCTTGGGCTGCCCCTTCTCTTTTCCACTAAAGCCCACTAAGGCCCATATAGCTCCTGAGGGGGTTCCGGTAACCTCCCGGTACTCCGGTAAAATCCCGATTTCACCCGGAACACTTCCGATATCCAAACATAGGCTTCCAATATATCAATCTTTATGTCTCGACCATTTCGAGACTCCTCGTCATGTCCGTGATCACATCCGGGACTCCGAACTAACTTCGGTACATCAACATGCATAAAACTCATAACAACTGTCATCGTAACTTTAAGCGTGCGGACCCTACGGTTCGAGAACAATGTAGACATGACTGAGACACATCTCCGGTCAATAACCAACAGCGGGACCTGGATGCCCATATTGGCTCCTACATATTCTACGAAGATCTTTATCGGTCAGACCGCATAACAACATACGTTGTTCCC